AGAATCTCTTAGTCAGGGTTTAAGCCACTACTGGATAAAAGACCAGTGTTTTTCCACCACGTTCATCGATCTGTTATGACAAAGTCTGTACTGATTTGATAAACTATAAACATTCTGTAGTAGAGTAGAGTAGAGTAGAGTAGAGTAGAGTAGAGTAGAGTAGAGTAGAATTCTTTATTGGCCAAGTATGGTTGGACACACAAGGAATTTTTCTCTGCTGCATAAATTGTCAGTGTTCATACAAGTGATAAATCATGATTATAATCATAAATACATTCATCATAAATCATAAGATGGAACACTCTGATAGTTATAGGATACTAAATAAACAATCAACAGAAATCATACTAGGGTACTAAATAAAAAAATTAATATAAATCGTAAGATACAAGTAAAAGTTATAGTCATAAGAAGATAAGGAATAGTAGTAGAAAAGATGAGATGGATAATAGTAATACAGCCCTACTCGGTAGTTCGACAGTGTTGTGGGAATTAGTTCTTTAGCAGTGATGGCATGGGGGAAAAACTGTCCTTGTGTCTAATTGTTTTGGCGGGCAATGCTCTAAAGTATTGTCTTGAGGGAAGAAGTTGAAACAATTTATATCCAGGATGTGACGGCTCTGTAGCTATTTTCACAGTCCTCTTTTTGGCTCGTGCAGTATACAGGCTCTCAATGGAAGGCACGCTGGTAGCAATAGTTTTTTCTGCAGTTTTAACTATCCATTGAAGTCTGTCTGTCTTGTTTGGTTGCAGTGCCAACCAGACAGTTATATGCAGCAAATGACAGTCTCAATAATTCCTTTATAGATAATTTAAATTATTTTCAATAATTTCCTCTGTATCAGTAGCTCCTTGGGCAGTCTGAGCTTTCTGAGTTGGTGCAGGAAGAACATACTTTGTTGTGCTTTTTTGATGACATTTTTTGATGTTAGGTGTTCATTTTAAGTCTTGAGATATTATAGTACCTAGAAACTTGAAGGTCTCTAATGTTGATACTGTGTTATCTAGTATTGTAAGAGGTGGTAGAATAGGAGGGCTTCTCTTAAAATCTATTATCATTTCTACAGCTTTAAGTGTGTTCAATTCAAGACTGTTCTGGCTGTACCACAAGGCTAGTTGTTCAACTTCCCGTCTATTCATCGTTGTCTTGAATGAGACCAATGACTGTTGCATCATATGCAAACTTGAGGACTTTAACAGAGAAATCCTTTAAGATGCAGTAGTTGGTATAGAGAAGTGGAGAGAGCACAGGGGGGGGGGACTTGTGCTAATTGTACAGGTATCTGATTTGATTTTGCTTATCTTCACCTGCTGTTTCCTGTCTGTTAGAAAACTTATGATCCACTTAACAAGTGTGGTCAGGCACAGCTAGCTGAATCTGTTTAGTTAAAAGAATATTTGGAATGATGGTACTGAATGCTGAGCTGAAGTCTACTGATCTGTTTGCTCAGTAGATAAATTGCAAGGGGTCTAACAGTGGATCCATGATGGTATTCAGGTGGGCCAGCATTAACCTTCATAACTACGGATGTCAGAGCAACTGGTCGGTAGTTGTTCAGCTCCTTAATGGAGGGTTTCTTCGGCACCGGGATGATAGTAGAGCATTTGAAGCAAGAAGGAACATAACACACCTCTAGTGATTCATAAAGATATGGGTGAAGATGGTGGCCAGATGGTCAGCACAAGCTTTCAAGCAAGGAGTTAACTTGTCTGGGTCTGGTGCTTTTACAGGCTTTTGTTTATGAAATAGATTTCCCACATCTTTTTCTGTGATCACCAGATGTGGGGGCCCCAAAGGGATGGGATCAGTTGTAGGGGGCTTGGCAGTTGTTTGTGTATCCGAGATGGAAATGGTGGTGATAGTGACAGTGGTTTCCTTTCAAACCTACAATAAAACACATTCGGGTCATCTGCTAGTTGTCGATTCCCTTCAGCATGGAAAGGTGGTTTGCTGTAACCAGTGATATTTTTAAGAAGTTTCCACACATTTGCTGGTTCATTTGTTGAAAGCTGATTCCTCAGCTTTTCAGAGTAGCTTCTTTTTGCTGCTGATCTCCCTTGTTAATACATTTCTGGCCTGATTGTACAGCATTCTATCTCCTTTCTTGTAGGCTTCCTCTTTGGCATGACGTAGCTGCCTGAGTTTAGCTTGTTGTTATTGTGTTGAACCAAGGCTTGTTGTTACTGTGTATTTGCAGGTTTCTGGTTGCCACACATAGGTCTTCACAAAAACTTACATTTGATGTTGGCAGCTGTGGGACACTGTTCATTGTATGATTTACCTTGTACCTTTTCATAGACAAAGGCTTAAAACCAACAATGAAATCAGTGAAGTCTTGGACTGAGGAAGCAAAGTTAAAGCTACAGGCTTGCCTTGATTGCACCGATTGGAACGTTTTTGAAAATACCTCTGCAGACGTCTGCAGGTGCTGTGAGTTCACCTGCAGACACCTGCAGAGGTATTTTCGAAAACATTCCAATCGGTGCAATCAAGGCAAGCCTGTAGCTTTAACTTTGCTTCCTCAGTCCAAGACTTCACTGATTTCATTGTTGGTTTTAAGCCTTTGTCTATGAAAAGGTACAAGGTAAATCATACAATGAACAGTGTCCCACAGCTGCCAATGGTAAAGCCTGATAAGTATCCTTTAATGTTGTGCAGCAGTGTCTAAAGTATTCTTGCCTCTAGTAAGACAGTTGACATGCTGAAAGTATCTTGGTAGCTCTTGGCTTAAATTAGCACTGTTGAAATCTCCTAACACAATGAGGAGTCTGGGTATCTCTCTTCAGCCCACATAATCTGATCAGCTAGAGTTTGTAATGCATTGTTTATGCAAACTTGTGGAGGAATATATGTTGCAAATAGAATGAATGAGAAAAACTCTAATGGAGAATCAAATGGTTTACAATTGACAATTAATGTCTCTAAGTCCACATCACATAATTTCTTTAGCGTAGTTACATTTTTGCACCATCAGTTGTTGATATAAAAGCAGAGTAAAAGAATACAGTAATACTATAAAAGGCATTGTGTCAATATATATTTAAGCATTACTGCATAACAAACAATGACTATTTGTTTTTACTACTGTTATTTGCAAACTGAGTTTGCTTGGTTTCTTTTACTCTGACTTTGAAAAACAGGAACCTAGAATAGCAATCCAACCCTTAATAAAGGACTAAGAAGAAACAGAATCATTGCAGAAAATTATTGACTATCCATTGTTAAGGGTAGCATATAAGTAGCTGGGATATTATTTATGACTCTGCAGTTCAAAAATGATTCTCTATTGAAGTGCTTCAGACCTTGTGTGAGGAGAGGATTTCTTTGCTATTGATTAAAGTAGCTTTTTTCAGGTTTTCATCAGATTAATTCTTAAAGCAGACACAACTTTTTCTCTCTTTTTTTTTTTACAAAAGTCTAAAAAGAAGATGCTACTTTAATGAAAAAGAGAGAAATCATCTGCTGACACAAGGTCTAAGTTCTTATAAAAAAATTTCAAAGCATTTAAGTCCAAACAACTTAAGTTTGAGATTTGGGGAAAAAAGGTTTAATTTTAATATGGTAATTTTTTTAAAAAAAAGTGAATTGGACAAAAATGCAACTTTTTCCTAAGATGACTTTTATTACTATCATATGTCTATTTGATGTTACTTCCAAGCTGACAAAGTTCATATAAATTAATATTCTCAACTTTGAACAAAGGCATTATTACAACCACATAAATTGTGGATACATAATCTAAAGTACCTTTGCCAAACAACATTTTATTTAAACATAATAATGTTAACATTATTCTCTGTAAACATAAATTTGTAAACCAGTTTGGGCTAGGAACACGATTTGATCTTGGTTAATAATGAAAAGTCAGTTTTAAATTTTTGCCAAAGAAACTACAGCAGAGAAATATGTCTACAAAGTCATTAGGAATGAAGACTGACTGGAATGCAGTGTTAAAAGCAGTGTAGTACTTATGTTCTGTATCACAACTAGTATGGATTCATATGAACATTTAGAAGTTTATTTTTAGAAATATGATTTTGTTAAGTATAGTTAGAGAAGATTAAATTCTAGAAACTGTCAAATTTAGTTTAACTCTACAGTATCAAAATGCTATTTTGAACTGGAGTTGAAACTTCCATGAGGTGTCCAAAATGACATATTAAATTGCTGAGTGTGATAGCTTTCATATAGAGAACTATGAATAAAACTTTTTATGCAATATTTTATTTCCTTTTAAAGTATGAACAGACTTCAGAAGAATTCCCAAAATATCAAAGATTTAGCTAGAACTTTATAATTACTAGTTTTAAATAGTGTTAATAAAATATTATCTTCAGCTAACGGTTCAAGCATAAACTAAAGCATGTTGAAATAATCTCTTATTCCATCTGAACATCTGAATTCACTTTGCAGGATATGGCATGCAGCTGCATTTAGATTCAAAGAAAGAGCAACTGCGGTACATTGACCCATTGAATATTACAGTAGGTTTTGAGTTTCATGTTAGTCGGATTTATTGGAGAAAATTGATTTGAGTGCTTCTGCTTTTGCCAGAGTTTTTTAATGTACGGAAGAAAGGAAATAAGACATGCATAGGATGTGACTTTGATGTGCAACAAGTTAATTATCTAAACCGTCTAACAAATCTTGGCTGGGGGAAGTAATTATTTTTAACGGTACAGGGTGGTCTGATGAAATGTTTTCCGCATCTCAATAAAACACTTCATATTCTTCGCAGTTTGGGAATGAAACTTCCCACGCTCGGGCCACGTTATCTTGGCAAGTAATGAAAACCTTTGACCAAAACGGAAGCAAAATTTTCCCTGCTTTGTTGTAGTACATGAACTCCCCTTGCTTTTAGGCAATAATGAAGTTACTGGTCACGAAATAAAATAGAATCGTGCAAAAAAAAAAAAAAAAACGTTCAGGGAAAAGCCGAAGCGAATCTCCTTCTCGACCGAAAGCGCGCCTCCTGGCGTGGCCAGCTTGTCGGCCTGGTCCGCGAATCAGAGGCGACGCGTCTTTCGCCGCGACTCGCGCAGGAAGCGCCGCCATGGCTTTTCCCGATCGCTGAGACGCCGCTGCTGCCGAAAGGGCTGCTCAGGTACTGTTGGGGGAGCCTCTGCCCGCCCAGGCGGCCGCGTGCGCGGAGGCGGGGATAGAACGCAGTCCCCCCCCCCCTTCCTCCCAGGACCCGGGGAAAGTCCCGAAGGGGCCCGCGCTTCCTTTCGGAACAGGACCGAGCCAATCGCGTTCTGCCCGGATCTCCCTTTAGATTGAGAAACGCCGGGATAGCGGCGTCTCTGGTTTATGAACCAAAAGGTGGAATTAAATGCCGACTAAGCATGCATGACAAGCGAACATGTGGCTCTCCTAGGCCGGGAAAGGTCACGTGCAGGCCGGGGATTTTTGCCAATTTGCTAGCCAGCTTGCTGGCTCGAATAGAGTGGTGGTGGTGGTGGTGGTGGGGAGTGTCTGTCCTGACGCCCGCCGTCCTCATCGGCTTCACCGCGCCACTGGGTCCGGCGGCCACGTGGGGCTTATGGGTGGAGGTGTCTTCTTCCTTACAGCCTCCAACTGCGGCAGCGGTGGCTTCTGTTTTTTAACTGCTCGTTTTTCTGTTCTCGGCCCTCAAAATGGAGCTGAGAAACACCAGCATTTCCAAAAAGCAAACCTAAAGACTGAAAGGGAGGGCTTTCCTTCTCGAGACAGAGGTGAAGCCAATCCTCTCCTGATGACCAAGAAGATCAACATCTCCGAGATAACCCAAATGTTTTTTTTGTTTGTTTTTGTTTTTTTAACAAAGCATTGACATAATTCTACTCCCATTCACAAGGGGCTTGTGCAGTTTCCGACTCAGCCATCCCTCCATCCTATCCCTGCATATTTGAAGAAGTGTGCAGCTGCTTTGTTCAGGTCTTATATTGAGTAAAGGACTATAATAGTTTTCCTTTAATACTGTTTCAGCCACAGTAGTACTCTACACTAAAGTAGTTCAAGATTAGAGGTTGCATGGGAAATTTGTTTTCCTGTTACTCAATTGTATGGCAAGTGGTTAGAAAGGGTAGAAATCAGCAACATGAATTTGGGTAGAGAGAATGGAAAGTCCTACACTCAGTGGTGGGTTTCAAAATTTTTTGCTACTGGTTCTGTGGGTGTGGCTTGGTGGGCGTGGCAGGGGAAGGATACTGTAAAATCTCCATTCCCACCCTACTCCAGGGGAAGGATACTGCAAAATTCCCATTTCCTCCATATCAGCTGGGACTTGGGAGGCAGAAAATAGGTGGGGGTGGGGCCAGTCAGAGGTGGTATTTACCGGTTCTCCGAACTACTCAAAATTTTCGCTACCGGTTCTCCAGAACTGGTCAGAACCTACTGAAACCCACCTCTGCCTATACTGGATTGAAAACATCACAGGCTTGAGTAGATAATGTACTGTGGGGAAATATCCATACACAGATGTATGTGCAAAAAAAAAATTGTTGCATTGAATTTAAAAGTGAATATAAATTTGCATGAAGTTCTAAAATGGGAAATGCACTCCTATACAGATAGTTGTTATGTTATGACTGTAATAGTTTACAACATTTTTTATGGCAGTTCGGTCGCTTAGCACTTCTGTCACTCAGCTGAGGACCCAGGTTCTGGATTGACAAAATGTCTTTGTCAAGAAATGTTTTTTTTCCCCCTCTGGTAGTCTGACCATATCTAAAATATTGCATCCTATTCTGGGCATCACATTTTAGGAAGACAAGTTAACTGGGACATAACCATGAAAAAGCAGACAAGATGATAAGAGGCCTGAAAAGAAAAACATGAAGGAATGCTTGGAGGTGTTTTCTGTGTTTAGTCTGGAGAGAAGATGACTCTGGGGAAACATGATAGAGGTCTTCAAGTGTTGAATGAGCTTTTAAAAGTTGTTCCAGAAGATGGGATAAGAAACAATAGTTGTAAATTACAAGGAAGTTGATTTTAGTTGAATGTTAGGTTTAATCTTACTAATGGTAAGAATTTAACAATGACACACTGTGTCAAAAGATGCTGGACTATTCTTTTCTGGAGATATTAGATATACTGTAGTAGTATATTTCTAAACGGAATACGGATTTGGATTAGATGATTTTCAAAGTTCTTGCCAACCTTGCAATTTGTGATACACTTGATATTACATGAACATCAGTGAACACCCAGCAGCACCTTTAAAGTGACTGGAGATTTTCAAGTTTTACCCTTAATTTGGAATAACTCTTTGATAATGGTTTGTCTTACCCAATTTGAACATGGAAAGTGCAGAATGACTTGGAAAATAGCATTTATGAGGTGCTATTAATGGAAGTTTGTGTTTGTAGCCTTATACCCTTGTAGAAATATAGATTGCTTTGAATGGCCAGTTAAGCCTCCAAAGTCCAAGGTGTTCATTTTAAAACGATTACCCATCCTCTGTGTTAAAAGAAAAATATCTATCCCAAAGGAAGAGCTTAAACTTGTTAGGGATGCACTGAGGATAAGTTAATGGTGCCACGCCACACATAAACCCTCTTCAGGCATTTAAAACTCAACAAAAATGTTGTGAGTGCTGACATCAGTTTGAGAAGGGGGATATAGGAATTAGAACCTTTCTTCCTCCCCTCCCTTACCCCCTCTCTAAAAAACAATGGAGGCAGAAATGGAGGGGGAAAAGTGAGTATGAAATCGATTGCCATGACACCTGAAGATGACAGTTTTTAAGAGAAAAACTTCAGGATCACCCTTTCTGATTTTATATGGGGGGGAGAGGATATTTTTATATCTGTCTATCTGTCTCTGTCAGCCTGCCTGCCTGCCTACCTTATTTAAATTTATCAAACGTTAACAATGCTACCTGTAAACAATCTGCATAAAAACGACTGTTAGAGACCAAGCATTTTAACTTGAATGGTGCAGTGGATAGTCTCTTAAGGAATGTCAAAAAGGGATAAAAATTTAAGGCCAGTTGAATTATATCTCAATCACAGTAATTATTGTATGATGGTATAGCTAATATAATTCAACTTACATATTAAGTATTAAATCCTTTTAGGTTAGCACTAGAAAAAATATTGGATGTTTATGCAGGATGTTGGTCAAAATAAAGCCTGAACTGAAGTCACATTAATAATATTTATTAGTATGTATTATTTTTGCCTACCTGTGTGATAAAATAAGATAAGAGCCTTGGTAGTACAGTGGTTTAATGCACCCTGTTATTAACACAGCTGCCTGCAATTTACTGCTGGTTTGAATCTCTCCAAGGCTCAAGGTTGACTCAGCCTTCCATCCTTTCTAAGGTAGGTTAAATGAGGACCCAGTTTGTGGGGGCAATAAGATGACTTTGTATAAATATACAAAAGTATGAAGGCTATTGCTTAATGCATTGTAAGCCGCCCTGAGTCTCCGGAGAAGGGCGGCATATAAATCAAATTAAAAAAAAAAAAAGCATCCTGAAAAAATTTTACATGCTGAAGAAAGTATTGCAAATTTTTGGTTGGAGCAGTTAGGTTTGATACGTTCAAATACCTTTGAAGGTTTGTGCGGTTCATTTGCTAAATTTCATGTGTTGTCCTTGTTTGCTATTTACTTAGATGAGCAGTACTGGACCCAGCCCAATGTCAGCTGTTCCATCTAGCAGTGGAAGAGGGACTGGGAGATCAACAAACTTTATTCTAGAATTGCAAAGTATGATGTGAGTATAATTCTGTTTCTACATCTCACAATGTTTATGGCTAGGCAATAGTAAAGGAAAGGTTTGATTAATATGTATTTATGATCTGATGTTGCAAAGAGTAAAATGTGTTACAAGATTGAATAAAGTAGTAAGGAGGTCCCTTGAATGATAAATAAGGCAATAAATATAAAATGCTATGTATATTTTATAATAGCTTTACAATTTTCTACTTTTGTTTATGCTTAACAATAAAATAATTGCATTTATAGTAAACTTAGCATATGTAGATAATTTAGAACTTTGTTTTCTTCCTCCTGACAATAAGAATGTTAGGGATGATGATTTACAGTGAATTAATCCAGTTCTCCTTTGCAATGAAACCACAAAATTGTTTTTAATTTTCTTTTATTGTTTTTTTATTGGTCCATGATATGTAGGTTTTATAGAGCTATAGATTACATATTTCATTCCATATTTAAAGTGTGATTAGTTGTCTTCTACAATGGACCAAATTACAAATCTTGATTTAGAAGAAAGACTCCTATTAATCAGAGAAAGACATTTTAGCACATGCCATTTTCTCTAATGTACATCCAGAATAGATGTAAGGGAAGTAAGATTGTTATTTATGATCATTGCTTCTTATTTATTGACCAATTTATTTACATTTTAAGATAAAAGTGATATCTTTCTATTAGACCTCCAGAGGGAGTATTATTATAAATATGGTGCCTAATTTTTTAACGGCAAAGATTTGCTATCCAAATTGAAATTGCACTATGCTTTATGTATTAAACCTTTATGTAGATTTAATTTGTTTTAACAATGAGATGACATATTTAGAAGAATTCTTGTGACTACCCCTCAAAAGATAACTTCAGATTTTTTAAGCTAGGACAAAAACATTCTTATAGACAAAGAACTTCACACTTTTATTTTTAAGATGTAAAATGAGTAACTGAGATGGATTATTCTGTATATTTCATGGCCTCTCCCAGTTGGTATGTCCCTGGTAGTTACTTTATGCTTCCTTTTATAAAGAAAAGCAGAAGTAGAAGATGTAAGATAGTGAATTGGAATGGTTTATGATAATACTGGGCTATGGAAAATAGTTTGGATTATTTACTTATCTCCTGGGATGAAAGAAAGTACAAGATTGATAATCTGGAAAAGGCTCAAGAATTCTTTGACCAGCACTTTACAATGGAAGAGGAACAGGAGACAAGGAGAGAAGCGGAACCCGGGACACGGCGGATGGAGAAGGAAGAAAAAGATCAGGAAGAGGCAAAAAGATTGGAGAGAGAAAGAATGGAGAGAGAGGGAGCGAGGGAAAAGACTCAAAGAGTTACCAGAAACACAGCAAAGTTGAAAATCACAAATAGATAAACTCGATAGAGATGGAAGGAGAAATAAAAATTATATCAATTAATATAAACGGACTCAACTCCCCAAGGAAAAGGAAATATATATTTACGAAATTGCAAAAATTGGACTTAGATGTGATAACTTTACAAGAAGTACACATTAAAAGACAGCAACAAATATTGTTGGAGAATCAAAAATTAGGAAAATTATTCACATCCCTAGGAGATAATAAGAAGAGAGGAGTGGCAACTTATGTCAAAAACCATTTAAAAGCTAAACAGATATATACAGATTCGGAAGGACGTATTTTAATAACTGAAATACAAACAGAAACAAGGAAAATATTGCTAGCTTCTATCTATGCACCTAATGGAAACCAGAGAGAATTTTACAAGAAACTACATGATACAATTAAAGATTTGGAGTACGAAAATATCTGTGTTGTCGGAGACTTCAACGCAATCGTGAATATACAAGATGACTATCGAAGTAATAAACAAAGTAAGACTCAAAAAAGAATCTTACCGGATATATTTAAGGATATGACTGAAGAATTGCAATTACATGATGGATGGAGAGAGGCCAACAAACAAACCAAACAATATACCTTCTACTCAAACCCACACCAGTCATGGTCTCGGATTGACATGGCCTGGATGACGCCAGACCTCAGGAAGGATCGACAAGACATTGAAATTATACCGAATACATGGGCCGACCATAATCCTATAAAAATAACATGGAGAGGACAGCGAAAGCAGAAGAGGTGGATGATGGACACCGGAATAATAAAAGATAGGGATTATATGCAGATGATGGAGAACGAACTTAGAATATTTTATCAAATAAACACAAAGGAGCAGACTTCAGTACAGAATCTGTGGGACACTACTAAGGCCTATATAAGAGGCCTCACAATAGCATACACAGCAAAAAAAAATAAAGATAAACAACAAAAGAGGAAAAAATTAATGGAAGAACTCAACATATATGAGTCACAATTACAGAAACAGCCTGACGACAAAACAACAAGGGAAAAATTGAATCGTACTAAACATGAGTTGAACTTAATTTCACAAGCAGAAATCGTACAGAAAATGAAAATGGTCAAGCAGAAATACTTTGAATATGCAAACAAAACAGGTCGCTGGCTGGCATACAGACTGAAGAAAGAGAGGGAAAAAAGAATAATATACCAATTGCAGGATGAAACAGGACAACTATATAGTATGAATTTAGATAAAAAACGTATAGTAAGGGAATTCTATCAAAACCTCTACACACAAGAAGAAACTCAAGACCAAGATATTATGGAATACCTACAAAAAGCAAATATCCAGAAATTAGAAGAATCCCACAGAGAAATACTGAATAAACCAATAACAATGATGGAGTTGATGGAAGCCCGAAAGAAACAGAAGAACAACAAAGTCCCAGGTCCGGATGGAATTCCAACGGAATTTTATAAAAACTGCCAGTCTGCAATAGACGAACTACTACTACAAGTTCTCAATGAGGCACTGCTGGAAGCAGAAACACCTAAATCTTGGGCCGAAACAATTATCTCACTCATCCCCAAAGAAGATACGGATCCGACTAAAGTCCAAAATTATAGACCCATCTCGCTGTTAAATGTAGATTATAAACTATTCACGACAATTATAGCACAGAGGCTGAAAACAATTATACATAATTATATACACCCCGACCAAAATGGTTTTGTCCCAAGGAGACAAATAAAAAACAACATGAGGACAATAATAAACGTTCTCGAATACTACGAGCAAAACATCAATAATCAGGTAGCGCTAATCTTTCTCGACGCGCAAAAGGCGTTCGACAATTTGAACTGGAAATTCCTTATAGCACAACTGCAGATTATGAATTTCGGCGACAAATTCCTGAAAATGATTAAGAAAATATATTCTTCCCAGACAGCAAGAATTATAATTAATGGAGATATGACCGAAAAAATAAGCATCCAAAAGGGGGTAAGACAAGGATGCCCGATATCGCCTCTACTGTTTATAATCTCACTGGAAGTCCTTCTAAAGGAAGTAAGAAAGGAAGAAGAAATAAAAGGACTGAAGATAAGGAATGAGGAGTATAAACTACAGGCTTTCGCGGATGATGTGGTCTTCATAGTGGAACAACCGGAAGTAGCGGGAGTCAAATTATTAGAGAAGATAGAGGAGTATGGCAAAGTGGCGGGGCTTAAGATCAATAAACAAAAAACCAAAGTCTTGACCAAAAATATGACAATGACACAAGAGGAAAAATTAGAAGAAGAATTAGGAATGCAAATTGCGAAGAAAGTAAAATATTTGGGAATTTGGCTTACTACAAAAGCAACAACTATTAGAGAGGACAATTACATTAAATTGATGAAGCAAATTAGAAAAGACTTGGAAAGATGGAATAAGGTACAACTATCATTTCTTGGCAGAATAGCGTCTGTAAAGATGAACATATTACCAAGACTCCTATATCTCTTCCAAGTGATACCAATTGGTCCGGGAAAAGATTTCTTTAAGGATCTCAATAAGACAATAATGAAATACATCTGGCAAGGAAAGAAAGCTAGAATTAAAATAAGATGCTTACAGGACACAAAGGAGAAGGGAGGCCTAGGTCTACCAGACTGGGAGCTATATTACAAGGCGGCGGCGTTGAATTGGATCAGAGAATGGATAGATCTATCAAATAGGAGAACGCTATACTTGGAGGGATTTGATCTGAGTCGAGGTTGGCATGCCTTTCTGTGGGAAGGCACAGACAAGCAACATCCGTACTTCCAGAGACATGTAATAAGAGGTGCACTATATAAAACATGGCAAGATATCAGAAGGCAACACTATAGTAAAATCCCACGATGGTTGTCGCCTATGGAGGCGCTAATTTATCCAAACACTATAGAAATAGGAAAGATGCGGAAATATCAAGAATTGTTGAGTAGTGAGGGAGACCTACTTACGAGACAAGAACTGGAAAGACGAGGCATTATGATTGATTGGTGGCCATACCTTCAAATTGAGTCAAAATATACAGCAGACCGGAGACATTATGATTTTCAAAGCCAACCAAGTGAACTAGATAAAATTTTAAAAGGCACAGATGAGAAAATAATATCTAAAATTTATGGATATTTAATAAGGTATAAATTAGAGGAGGAAACAGTGAAAGAAAACATGGTAAGCTGGGCAAGAAATATAGGTCACAATATAGAGTTGGATAGATGGGACAAGCTATGGGCAGAAAATTATAAGATGACACTGTCGATTCCATACAAAGAAAATTTATACAAGATATTTTATAGATGGCACCTTCCTCCGGCACGTTTGGCTAAAATGTTTCCAAACACATCACCAATGTGTTGGAAGTGCAAGACACAAATGGGGACATATTACCATCTCTGGTGGTCTTGCAGGAAGGCACAACGCTACTGGCAAGAGATTAAGAGAATAATCGAAGAAACAACGAGGCAAAGTGTAGAAATGAAACCAGAACTCTTTCTATTTGGAATGACTACACCACAGTGTACCAAGGAGATAAAATATCTTACCATCCACATATTGACAGCGGCACGTATAGTGTACGCTCAGAATTGGAAATCCGAGATAATACCAACAGAAGAAAAAATAATAACAAAAATA